TGGATGGTTGGATGGATGTTTGGATGGATGTTTCGATGGATGGATGGATGTTTGGATGGATGGATGGTTGGATGGATGGTTGGATGGATGTTTGGATGGATGGATGGATGTTTGGATGGTTGGATGGATGTTTGGATGGATGGATGGTTGGATGGATGTTTGGATGGATGGATGGATGGATGTTTGGATGGATGGATGGTTGGATGGATGGTTGGATGGATGTTTGGATGGATGGTTGGATGGATGTTTGGATGGATGTTTGGATGGATGGATGGATGTTTGGATGGATGGATGTTTGGATGGATGGATGGATGTTTGGATGGATGGATTTTTGGATGGATCGATGGTTGGATGGATGGATGTTTGGATGGATGTTTGGATGGATGGATGTTTGGATGGATGGATGGATGTTTGGATGGATGGATGTTTGGATGGATGGATGGATGGATGGATTTGGATGGATGGATGGATGTTTGGATGGATGGATGTTTGGATGGATGGATGGATGGATGGATGTTTGGATGGATGGATGTTTGGATGGATGTTTGGATGGATGGATGTTTGGATGGATGGATGGATGGATGTTTGGATGGATGTTTGGATGGATGGATGTTTGGATGGATGGATGTTTGGATGGATGGATGGATGTTTGGATGGATGGTTGGATGGATGTTTGGATGGATGGTTGGATGGATGTTTGGATGGATGGATGTTTGGATGGATGGATGGATGGTTGGATGGATGTTTGGATGGATGGATGTTTGGATGGATGGATGGATGGTTGGATGGATGGATGTTGGATGGATGTTTGGATGGATGGATGGATGTTTGGATGGATGGATGGATGGATGTTTGGATGGATGGATGTTGGATGGATGGATGGATGGATGGTTGGATGGATGGATGTTTGGATGGATGGATGGATGGATGTTTGGATGGATGGATGGATGTTTGGATGGATGGATGGATGTTTGGATGGATGGATGGATGGATGTTTGGATGGATGGATGGATGTTTGGATGGATGGATGGATGGATGGATGTTTGGATGGATGGTGGTGAGACAGCAGGTCTTCCTGGAGCGGCGATCCTTCGCCTTGGGACCCAGGCGGTGGCGACGTCTATGAAGGACACCGGCGTCTTTTCCCCGGGAATTGAAGCCTGGCAAATTTTAATAACCACCAGGCGAGCATCTTCATCATCTACATCATGATCTTATTCTTCTTCATCATCATCCCACAAAGCTGCAGGTTCCAGTGCCTCCATTCAGCAACTGGGACCCAAACGACCTTCCTGATTAGATCGATATTCTTTCAGCTCTTTGTCTTCAGCTGGTGTCGGTTTTGTTCTCTATCTGGTTCCCCAACTTCCCTTCCAGACCATCAGCTCTCATTGAGCTTGGAAAGCGTTTCTATGACGTCAGACTTTGTCTTGTTTCAGAGCAGGCGAGGGAACCTGGAGGGAACCTGGAGAGAACCTGGAGGGAACCTGGAGAGAACTGGAGAGAACCTGGAGGAAACCTGGAGAGAACCTGGAGGAACCTGGAGGGAACCAGGAGAGAACCTGGAGGGAACCAGGAGGGAACCTGGAGGGAACCTGGAGGAAACCTGGAGAGAACCTGGAGGAACCAGGAGGGAACCAGGAGAACCTGGAGGGAACCTGGAGGAAACCTGGAGAGAACCTGGAGGGAACCAGGAGGGAACCAGGAGAGAACCTGGAGGGAACCTGGAGAGAACCTGGAGGAACCAGGAGAGAACCTGGAGAGAACCTGGAGGAAACCAGGAGAGAACCTGGAGGGAACCTGGAGAGAACCTGGAGAGAACCTGGAGGAAACCTGGAGAGAACCTTGAGGAACCTGGATCTGTTGCTGCTCCAGCGTCCAGGACAATCCTAACAGGCTTCCGTTACAGCGTTTCTGTTCTGTGAAGCTAGCTCGATGCTAACGCAGTAAGCAGGATGTTCGCTCTTATGTTTAGTCTTAGACATTTTTCTTGTGAGACGTTTCAGACTCACTAAACCCACAGCAGGCAAAACAAGACAAGGCAGCATGAGGAAATCTGAGCTCTGCACACAAACTGATTAGAGGAGCTGCACATGCTGCGCCTTCTTCAGACATCCAAACTCATCTGTTGATTCCTGATTACTTCCTGATTGGTTCCTTGATTGTTCCTGATTGGTTCCAGCTTGGGCGTGTTTAGTTATTTTCATGTTTTCTTTATGAAAGAGACGCCGGAAGCTGGGCCGGTGGAGCTCCAACGTTTTGCCTGGAGAGAGATCCTGGGCTGTTGGGGAAGCTTGATCGAACGCTGGAGGGACTAGGACTTCTCTGGAAGATTGTCGGCCCAATTCGAGGACGTCAAATCGGGCCGATGTCCGGCCCCAATACCTGGACAGACTGGAGTTCATTCCAGGCCTGGAGAAAGAGACCGCCAGGACCATAAACCTGGTGAGACGTTTCCTTATTTCCCTTCATTTTTCGGACACAGACAGATGAATCATTTGGGCCCCATCGTTATTTTTGTGAGTGCATGGATACATTTTTTGAGCAAATAACTGCAGACTTTTTGTTGGATATTTATTGTGATTGAAAGATATATTTCAGAAACTGTTTCAGATTTGGTTTGGTTCAAATGTCGATTAGAACAGCTGATTTATTAAACATAACGTCTCCACCTGCACTTGTAAGCTGACGTGTCTGATCGTTTTTTGAAAATTAATTTCATTCAATTTGCCCTTTCTAGTATTGATTAGGACAGGCTGTTAATATACTAATTTCTAAATAGTTAAAAATAATTGAATTCTCTTAAGCGTTTGCAATCTCCATTTAAACGGGAAACTCTTGCAACAGCTGCCCGGTTCTACGTGTTCTGACCCGCTTCTTTCTGCTGCCGCTGCGCCCGACATTAGCGCTAGCTGCTACCTGTATAGCATTCAGAGTTATTTTAGGCTAGCATAGCTTCGCTAATGCTAACTGCTTTTAGCATCCTGTTAGCATCTTTTCCAGCAGCAGATTGTTTGGAAATGGGCTCTTTTGCACCTCAGCTTCCGCGTTTTTCCGGTACATTAAACATGTCATTTTACAGTAGGTGTTTGCAGGGCTTGCCAAAGCTAACAATTAATGACGTATCGGATTTGTAAGGCGGGATCCAAAGCCCCATCAAGCAAACTAGAAAAAGGTTTTCAGATGTACGTCTCATCATATATTCATGGATACGAGGGTGAGTATTACTTTAAAGTTCTTAAACTTCGTGGCTAATGTTAGCTTTAGCTTATGCTAATATGCAATATTCTCGGACATTTTACTCATACAATTGTGCTATTTATATATCTAAACATTCTTATTCTTTCTAAGTACAATATTGTATTTATTTTTAAGTGTATAGTTGATTGTGTTTGTTGTCGTTAGTGTCAAACAGAGACCAAGTAACGGGGGAGATCACATCAGGCTTTTGCTTCCGAAGCATGAGAAGCCCCATGACTTAAAAGTAGGGCAGCACTATCATTTTTTTCAGTTTGAGTTCAGCTGAATGTTCAGGTTCAAATTTGTTATTTTGATAAATATAAGGCCGTGTTCCTTAAGGCCTACGTGTTATTTCGTTTTACTACTTGTGCATGTGTAGCCGACTTGAACTCTGCGTTGTGTAATAAAAGGGACCAGCAGACGAAGACTCGGGATGTCTAGCAGGTTCATTCTGTTTGAAACAAAAATAAATCAGTGCAGCGGTCTGGGCTCCGACCTTCCCATACACAGCACACACCTTAAACGACCAAAAATAGAAATAACCAGGTTGGCTTGATAAACTCAACAAATGTCGAAACGGTGGGAATCAAACACCCAATACAGAGCTGCACCAACATAAAACAGTAGAAAACCAATATATAAGATATGTTAAGTTATCAAACATACTTTTTTAAAATATTTTGAATATTTTCACAAACAAACTGATGACAGCTAGTACACTCACCTCTCCCCAGCGCAGTTCGGCGCGAACAGAGGAGTAGCGCGAACACACCGGATGTGATGCAAAACCGGAAACAAGAAAATAAACAGGAAACAAGAAAATAAAAGCTTCTTTACCAAAATAAAATTACAACTCGAAATCGAAGAAAAACAAATATACATAGATAATGAAGATGGATTTGGGATGAAATATAACAATTTTTTTTACATACTTGCTACACATGCTTCTTGTGGGTTTGTGTTTACAGCCTCCTCCAGTTCAGACATATTTAATTAAGAAACCAGAGGTGGGGCGAGTAACCCAAATTTTAAAAAGAAAAGGTTTGTTGCGGTGTTAGCTTAGCTTACCTTGTGTAAAATCGTATGTCATTGTCAGACCCAGCGAACCTTTGTAATCCAAAGGCAGATTGAATTTTTAGTTCTTTAATCTGGTTAGTTACAGCTTTTATTTCTTCTTTTAATTTCTCATTTTCATTTATTGCCATGTCCAGGCTAGCTGGTTCTGGGACAGAGCAATAATCGTGATCAGCATAAGTGCATCACAGCTGCTGGCTGTCAGTCAGGCTCTGGTCTGCTCACTCGTTCCCAAACACTGGCTCTTTCAGGCTGAACTCAGAAGTTGTTCCACTGAAATAACAAAGGGACGGCTCCTTTCTTTACCATTCTTCTCCCACCTGCAGTTTTAGGTTGAAAAAGCTGATCTGGAGGGAAGTGAAGGCTGAAAACTTTGCTATGAGCTGTTAGCTTGAATTTGACTCCGCAAATATTTATAAGCCACCGTCTTTTTACCTCAGGATGTTTCGGAAATCCGTGAAAACTTAAAAGGCCGTTATGTTTGGAGGACGTTATGCACCGTGGAACACAACAGTGTTCGTGGTATTGCTTAAATTGCTTTTGAAATATGACTTTGTCTTTCCTTCCGGTCATGGTCGGTTACGTTAACCGTAAAGCGGAAAAAAAATAGCCGCATATGCGCATGCGGATGTGACGTCAGCGCGGCAGGTGCAAAGAGCCCATATGAACGGGAGCAGCAGCTTCATCACTGCTGCTAGCAGATGTAGCTGTGCGTCAGCTTTATGGTCGTACCAGAAACACAAGAATAGAAAGGTTCCACTTTGGTGTTTTGTCTGTCAAGGAACAAACTAGATTGATTTGGGTCCATAGTTTATTGGGTCAAAATGCCACCTGGTTCTCTACACAGTAACAATAATCTGCACAAACAGTTTTAGTTTTTTATTCTTTAACTTTTTGTTTGTTTCTTTTATCATTATTTCTGCATCACACGGCTGCGTGGACTCCGGCGCAACCCAGTCAGGTTCTGTTCCTGGTTCCTGCACAGAACCGACGCCTGAAGTGTTCAGAGACCTGGTCCTACTGAACAGAACCGCCTGCTGACCCGGTTCTCTACCAGGTCCAGTTTCCTTCAGCAGGACTTTTTCCTTCCTGATTGGCTGGAAACTCTTTCTGGTTCTGAACTGGTTCCATTTCAGAACCGCTCTGAGCCAGGCCCGATTCTGCTCCTCCTCCCGCCTCATCCAATCCACGGCACCAGCGGGAACAAAACCGGGATCTGGACCCGCTCTCCCGCTGACAATCTGTTTACCTCTGGGTAAACAGGTTCTGTTTCTGAGCTGGGCCAGAACAGCCTGTGGGAAACCGGGCCGGTCCAGAATCCCGGCGTCTCCTCCGTAAACATGCTGCTGTCGGTTCTGGAGCCGCCGGGTCAGGACGAACCGGTACGGAGCCAGAAGGATGATGACTGCAGCGAATGTCACTTCCTGTTTGACTAGATGAACTCTGAGTGGAACCAGGGCAACAAGGTTCGCTAATTTAACCCCCGCCCCCAGCCGGTTATTTGCACCCCAGCACGTCATTTGCCCCACAGCTCGTCGCCCCCACTGCTGCGCGTGCTTGCCCTTTCTCGCGGTGCAGTCGCAGCATCTCCAGGACGCTGCGGGCGTAGGCGTCCCTCAGGTTGGCTCTGCCCCCAGTGGGGTCGGCTCCGCCCCCCAGCGAGCCGCGGGTCAGCCTCCGGAGTGTGTCGGCGTGGCGCAGCGCGGCCTCCCGGACCTTCAGGGTGAAGTAGCAGGCGGAGAAGCGGTCGTTGATGATGGCGATGGGCAGCGCCAGATCAGGATGCCAGACAGGATGCAGAGGAAGGCCAGCGTCTTCCCTGCCGCCGAGTCGGGACGCACGTCGCCGTAGCCCACCGTGGTCATGGAGGTGGTGGCCCACCACCAGGCGGCCGGCACGCTGGTGAAGGTGGAAGCCGGGAGGTCGTGCTCCAGGGCGAACACCAGGGCGGCAAAGATGGAGATTCCCACGCCGAGGAAGAGGAGCAACACGCCGACTTCCTCATAACACTGAGCGATGGTCATTCCCAGAGAGCGCAGGCCTGCAGGGGGAGAAGGACCAGTTCATTCAGGAACTGTTCAGAGAAAAGAACCAGTTCATTCAGGAACTGTTCAGAGAAAAGAACCAGTTCATTCAGGAACTGTTCAGAGAAAAGAACCAGTTCATTCAGGAACTGTTCAGAGAAAAGAACCAGTTCATTCAGGAACTGTTCAGAGAAAAGAACCAGTTCATTCAGGAACTGTTCAGAGAAAAGAACCAGTTCATTCAGAAACTGTTTACATAAAGGAACCAGTTCATTCAGGAACTGTTCAGAGAAAAGAACCAGTTCATTCAGGAACTGTTCAGAGAAAAGAACTGGTTCATTGGGGAACTGTTCAGAGAAAAGAACCAGTTCATTCAGGAACTGTTCAGAGAAAAGAACCAGTTCATTCAGGAACTGTTTACATAAAGGAACCAGTTCATTCAGGAACTGTTCAGAGAAAAGAACCAGTACATTCAGGAACTGTTCAGAGAAAAGAACCAGTTCATTCAGGAACTGTTCAGAGAAAAGAACCAGTTCATTCAGGAACTGTTCAGAGAAAAACCAGTTCATTCAGGAACTGTTTACATAAAGGAACCAGTTCATTCAGGAACTGTTCAGAGAAAGAACCAGTTCATTCAGGAACTGTTCAGAGAAAAGAACTGGTTCATTGGGGAACTGTTCAGAGAAAAGAACCAGTTCATTCAGGAACTGTTCAGAGAAAGAACCAGTTCATTCAGGAACTGTTTACATAAAGGAACCAGTTCATTCAGGAACTGTTCAGAGAAAAGAACCAGTACATTCAGGAACTGTTCAGAGAAAAGAACCAGTTCATTCGGAACTGTTCAGAGAAAAGAACCAGTTCATTCAGGAACTGTTTACATAAAGGAACCAGTTCATTCAGGAACTGTTCAGAGAAAAGAACCAGTTCATTCAGGAACTGTTTACATAAAGGAACCAGTTTCATTCAGGAACTGTTCAGAGAAAAGAACCAGTTCATTCAGGAACTGTTCAGAGAAAAGAACCAGTTCATTCAGGAACTGTTCAGAGAAAAGAACCAGTTCATTCAGGAACTGTTCAGAGAAAAGAACCAGTTCATTCAGGAACTGTTCAGAGAAAAGAACCAGTTCATTCAGGAACTGTTTACATAAAGGAACCAGTTCATTCAGGAACTGTTCAGAGAAAAGAACCAGTTCATTCAGGAACTGTTCAGAGAAAAGAACTGGTTCATTGGGAACTGTTCAGAGAAAAGAACCAGTTCATTCAGGAACTGTTCAGAGAAAAGAACCAGTTCATTCAGGAACTGTTCAAAGAAAAGAACCAGTTTCATTCAGGAACTGTTTACATAAAGGAACCAGTTCATTCAGGAACTGTTCAGAGAAAAGAACCAGTACATTCAGGAACTGTTCAGAGAAAAGAACCAGTTCATTCAGGAACTGTTCAGAGAAAAGAACCAGTTCATTCAGGAACTGTTTACATAAAGGAACCAGTTCATTCAGGAACTGTTCAGAGAAAAGAACCAGTTCATTCAGGAACTGTTTACATAAAGGAACCAGTTCATTCAGGAACTGTTCAGAGAAAAGAACCAGTTCATTCAGGAACTGTTTCAGAGAAAAGAACCAGTTCATTCAGGAACTGTTTACATGAAGGAACCAGTTTCATTCAGGAACTGTTCAGAGAAAAGAACCGGTTCATTGGGGAACTGTTCAGAGAAAAGAACCAGTTCATTCAGGAACTGTTTATATAAAGGAACCATTCATTCAGGAACTGTTCAGAGAAAAGAACCGGTTCATTGGGGAACTGTTCAGAGAAAAGAACCAGTTCATTCAGGAACTGTTTACATGAAGGAACCAGTTCATTCAGGAACTGTTCAGAGAAAAGAACCAGTTCATTCAGGAACTGTTCAGAGAAAAGAACCAGTTCATTCAGGAACTGTTTACATAAAGGAACCAGTTCATTCAGGAACTGTTCAGAGAAAAGAACCAGTTCATTCAGGAACTGTTCAGAGAAAAGAACTGGTTCATTGGGGAACTGTTCAGAGAAAAGAACCAGTTCATTCAGGAACTGTTCAGAGAAAAGAACCAGTTCATTCAGGAACTGTTCAAAGAAAAGAACCAGTTCATTCAGGAACTGTTTACATAAAGGAACCAGTTCATTCAGGAACTGTTCAGAGAAAAGAACCAGTACATTCAGGAACTGTTCAGAGAAAAGAACCAGTTCATTCAGGAACTGTTCAGAGAAAAGAACCAGTTCATTCAGGAACTGTTTACATAAAGGAACCAGTTCATTCAGGAACTGTTCAGAGAAAAGAACCAGTTCATTCAGGAACTGTTCAGAGAAAAGAACCAGTTCATTCAGGAACTGTTTACATAAAGGAACCAGTTCATTCAGGAACTGTTCAGAGAAAAGAACCAGTTCATTCAGGAACTGTTCAGAGAAAAGAACCGGTTCATTGGGGAACTGTTCAGAGAAAGAACCAGTTCATTCAGGAACTGTTTACATGAAGGAACCAGTTCATTCAGGAACTGTTCAGAGAAAAGAACCAGTTCATTCAGGAACTGTTCAGAGAAAAGAACCAGTTCATTCAGGAACTGTTTACATAAAGGAACCATTCATTCAGGAACTGTTCAGAGAAAAGAACCAGTTCATTCAGGAACTGTTCAGAGAAAAGAACCAGTTCATTCAGGAACTGTTCAGAGAAAAGAACCAGTTCATTTAGGAACTGTTTACATAAAGGAACCAGTTCATTCAGGAACTGTTCAGAGAAAAGAACCAGTTCATTCAGGAACTGTTCAGAGAAAAGAACCAGTTCATTCAGGAACTGTTCAGAGAAAAGAACCAGTTCATTTAGGAACTGTTTACATAAAGGAACCAGTTCATTCAGAACTGTTCAGAGAAAAGAACCAGTTCATTCAGGAACTGTTTACATAAAGGAACCAGTTCATTCAGGAACTGTTCAGAGAAAAGAACCAGTTCATTCAGGAACTGTTCAGAGAAAAGAACCGGTTTTCATTGGGGAACTGTTCAGAGAAAAGAACCAGTTCATTCAGGAACTGTTTACATAAAGGAACCAGTTCATTCAGGAACTGTTCAGAGAAAAGAACCAGTTTCATTCAGGAACTGTTTACATAAAAGAACCAGTTCATTCAGGAACTGTTCAGAGAAAAGAACCAGTTCATTCAGGAACTGTTCAGAGAAAAGAACCAGTTCATTCGGGAACTGTTTACATAAGGAACCAGTTCATTCAGGAACTGTTCAGAGAAAAGAACCAGTTCATTGGGGAACTGAATGATGGTCTTTCCCAGAGACCAGGATTTGGAGAGAGAGGATAAAGAACTGGTTCAGCCCTGAACCTTTTCCTGATCCTGTTCAGAAAGGACAGGATCAGGATAAAGATAAAGACTGTGTTGCTCTGATCTGCCTTCAGGACATTCATCCTGTTTCTTGAGTAAAGATGTTGTTGACGTCACTTTAGTTACTGGTGCTGGTTCTGGTTATTCTGGGTTCCTGCTCCAGTTTCCTCTGCTTCCTGCATTATTCATGAGTGATCGGAGAGGCTTCTTCAGCTCATGGAGTCTTTGCTAATATCAGACGTTGAATCCGTGTTTTCTCTGCCAGCTGCTTTCTCTTCACATCAGGAGGGAATGGGGGAGTCAGGGGGACCTGTGATTGGTCCTCACGCCTCGCCGCATTACGCTGCTCTTTGTCGGCTGTGGTTTCAAAAACAGGAAACAGCCAGTTTGTTCAGGAATATTTAGGACACAACAAGCAGCCAGGCTGAGAAAAGCTGCATGGAACTCATGTTTAGTAATGATGTAGCCGCTCTGGGCAATGTGTTGACCCGCTGGTTGCTCTTTGTGCGGCAAATGAAGGGAATCTGTGATTGGATGAACAGACACAGAGCGCTGCCAGGACCAGCTCCACTGTGAACGCACACACCACACGTTGAGCATGCGCTCGCACCAGACTGACGGCCCAGAGCAAACCGTGACGATAACTGCCTTATAGTCACTCTGGTAGGTTGGCATTGAGCGATCAAGCAGTCAGGCTTTGATACTTGGTGCAGTATTCTCCAAAAAGTCGATCTTCACAGAGGGGCCATTAAATGCCGCTACAGGGGAACCTGCTCTGCACAACCTCCTTCCTACTGGGAAGGTATTATGTTTTAGTTTGTTTCTCTGGGGAAACGCTGACAGAGTCCATGCTCTGGACTGGCCATGGCAAAGTCCCGACTGCAGCACCACAGAAAACAGATCGAGTCAGAGTGAACAGGTGAAGCAGGAAGCCTTAAAACTCCACCCAGTAAGACTGGGATGAGCTAAGGTCCCAGTAAACCTTGCAGAAGGAAACCCAGAACATCTGACCCAAATCAGTTCTATTAAGCTTTAATGGTTGAGAGAAAGAGTTGAGGTGTACTTTCTAGTGAAGCGTTTACCTGTGGAGTGTCGACCCAGCTTCAGCATGCGCAGGATCCGGAGGAGGCGCAGCACCTGGACCACCCGGCCCACGTTCTCCAGCTCGGTGGAGCCGCCATGGAGGCTCTCCACTGCCAGCGTCACATAGAAGGGCAGGATGGCCAGCAGGTCGATCACGTTGGGGATGCTTCGACTGAACCGGCACTTGTCCCGGACGCAGGCGAAGCGCAGCACCAGCTCACCTGTGAACCACAGGACGCACACGTACTCCACGCCGTCGAGCAGCCGCGGCCCGCTGGCGCCGAGCCAGCTCACGCCGAAGTCCTGGTCCAGGTCCAGAGAGATCAGCACCATGTTGACGACTGACAGCACCACGAAGAAGATGGAGAGGGAGCCAAAAGTTCGGGCGGCGCGACGATTCCGGTCTCTCCAGAATGTCCCAGAGACGCCGACGCAGGCCTGGACAGAGCGTACCTACAAAGTCCTCCTCTTCTTCATCAGTCTCAAACTCCTGCTGGACATCCAGGGACTCTTTCTGCTCCTTGCGGCGGTAGTAGCGTTCTCGGCAGCAGGAGTCGATGCGGAGTTCGTCGATGCCCCAGTACTCGATCTCCTGGAGGAAGGAGATCTCACACAGCTCCTCCATGACATGAAGGTGACCCGTCTGGTAGAAGTTCATCACATACCTGGACCAAGCAAAGAAATGAATGAAACAAAGCCTGAACAGCCTGACGTTTCTGGAACATGAGAAAGGTGGTGGACCTGAAACCAGATCAGCCCTGACTGGATGTTTCCTCCTCTCCACAGACATCAGGGGCATAAAACTCTGCGCGGTTTTCACTAAAACAAATTTAGAAAAGACTCAAGATGTCTGAAGCCGAGCTGCGATCAGACTTGCTTCATGATTTGCTGCTCCGCCCGTCGCCTCCATCAATACATATTCATGTCATTTGGTATAAATACTGTTTAGGAATTAAAAAGAGGAATAACTTGATTTAGCTCTTTAATTAATTCTTCTTTGTCCCGAATTCTTGTGTCTGTATAAATGTGCAGGGAGAAAGAGCAATCATACGACGTCAGACTTCAGATATCCAGAGTTTTATCCAGAGAAAATCAATCCAAGAAGAATGTTGCAATAAGCATCTCACCTAGATCATCAAAAGTCCAAGACATGACAAAACAGAAACAATTAACTGAGTAAAAGGGAAACAGAACAAACAAAAGATGCATCTTCTGGGAAACTCTCACTCAGCACAAGAGATTCGGACTTCAGCTCTAAACAAACCATTTTATAATAATGTGTATTCTCCTCATTTAAATATATGCATTAGGAGGTGTGTTTTCCTTTGTGTGGGCCTTCCCATTGATTTTATTACCTCCTGCTAAAGAACCCAAAGGCAGATATATGGATCGTCCAACTGGGTCTCTGCCGTACCAGGCGTCTCCTGCAACTCTCCCTGAGCTAATTTACGACCTCTGTCTGTTTTAGTTTTCTGCCTCAAATGATTCCACAAGAAAGTAGTTTGTATTTTTAACCAAGCTTGCACAAAATGTAATGCTAAATAATGACTATAAGTTTGGATCTAAGAAGTAACTAATTCAAAACATGCTTAAAGAAATATAGTTAATTCTAATATAGATAAAATTATTTATGAAAAGTTTTAAGATCCTAGTGAACTTTTGAACCATGCTAAGGAATTTGTTAACTGCCTGGCAGACAGACTCCCTGTCTAAAGAGATTCTAGGCTGTTTTCTGTAGAATCCTCCCTAAGAATTTATATAAGTTCAGAGTCAGATTCAGTTGTTTTAGTTTGGATCTTTATCTAAATTTATATGAACATAGAGTGTACTTTAGCTTTCTATGGTATATTTCATATGTATCAAAACTATCCTGTGCAGTATTGTGCTAATTTAAAATATTATTTCAACACTGGTCAGAAGTCTGCAGCCGTAACCATGGCAACGGCCTTGTTGTACCAGGTAAGTATCTGTAACAATAATAATAATCTATTTATTTAAAGGTGCTTTCAGGGCACAGAAGGGCCTGGTACCGGTACCGGTCCAGTGACGTTCGGTGAGCTTTAGGTAGAAAAAGTTTACTTGGCTGCTGCACATTTTCACAGCAGGTCAAAGCTTTCAAAGCAGATTTATTTATATTATTTTTATATTTCACGCCAAATACATTTTAATTTTTGATGTAAAATATGGCGCCACACATTTTATTGTGCACACGGCGTTTAGACCCGAGGAGCTGGGTCATCACGCGGCGCTTTGTCAGGCTGATCTGACGGCAGAACGACAGGAATAAAGCCCTAAGGGAGACTTTCAGTTTTGAAAGGTAGTCTAAGCATCCAGTCCTGGTCCTGGCGGGCTGCTGTCCTGCAGCTCTTGGACGCCTCCCTGGAGGTCGTCTCCCTGGAGGTCGTCTCCCTGGAGGTCGTCTCCCTGGAGGTCGTCTCCCTGGAGGTCGTCTCCCTGGAGGTCGTCTCCCTGGAGGTCGCCTCCCTGGAGGTCGTCTCCCTGGAGGTCGTCTCCCTGGAGGTCGTCTCCCTGGAGGTCGCCTCCCTGGAGGTCGCCTCCCTGGAGGTCGTCTCCCTGGAGGTCGTCTCCCTGGAGGTCGTCTCCCTGGAGGTCGCCTCCCTGGAGGTCGTCTCCCTGCAGGTCGTCTCCCTGGAGGTCGTCTCCCTGGAGGTCGTCTCCCTGGAGGTCGCCTCCCTGGAGGTCGTCTCCCTGCAGGTCGTCTCCCTGGAGGTCGTCTCCCTGGAGGTCGTCTCCCTGGAGGTCGCCTCCCTGGAGGTCGCCTCCCTGGAGGTCGTCTCCCTGGAGGTCGTCTCCCTGGAGGTCGTCTCCCTGGAGGTCGCCTCCCTGGAGGTCGCCTCCCTGGAGGTCGTCTCCCTGGAGGTCGTCTCCCTGGAGGTCGCCTCCCTGGAGGTCGTCTCCCTGCAGGTCGCCTCCCTGGAGGTCGTCTCCCTGGAGTCGTCTCCCTGGAGGTCGCCTCCCTGGAGGTCGCCTCCCTGGAGGTCGCCTCCCTGGAGGTCGTCTCCCTGGAGGTCGTCTCCCTGGAGGTCGTCTCCCTGGAGGTCGTCTCCCTGGAGGTCGCCTCCCTGGAGGTCGTCTCCCTGGAGGTCGTCTCCCTGCAGGTCGTCTCCCTGGAGGTCGCCTCCCTGGAGGTCGCCTCCCTGGAGGTCGTCTCCCTGGAGGTCGCCTCCCTGGAGGTCGCCTCCCTGGAGGTCGCCTCCCTGGAGGTCGTCTCCCTGGAGGTCGTCTCCCTGGAGGTCGTCTCCCTGGAGGTCGTCTCCCTGGAGGTCGCCTCCCTGGAGGTCGCCTCCCTGGAGGTCGTCTCCCTGGAGGTCGCCTCCCTGGAGGTCGCCTCCCTGGAGGTCGTCTCCCTGCAGGTCGTCTCCCTGGAGGTCGCCTCCCTGGAGGTCGCCTCCCTGGAGGTCGCCTCCCTGGAGGTCGCCTCCCTGGAGGTCGCCTCCCTGGAGGTCGTCTCCCTGGAGGTCGCCTCCCTGGAGGTCGCCTCCCTGGAGGTCGTCTCCCTGGAGGTCGTCTCCCTGGAGGTCGTCTCCCTGGAGGTCGCCTCCCTGGAGGTCGCCTCCCTGGAGGTCGTCTCCCTGCAGGTCGCCTCCCTGCAGGTCGCCTCCCTGCAGGTCGTCTCCCTGGAGGTCGCCTCCCTGCAGGTCGTCTCCCTGGAGGTCGCCTCCCTGGAGGTCGCCTCCCTGGAGGTCGCCTCCCTGGAGGTCGTCTCCCTGGAGGTCGCCTCCCTGGAGGTCGCCTCCCTGGAGGTCGTCTCCCTGGAGGTCCTCCCTGGAGGTCGTCTCCCTGGAGGTCGTCTCCCTGGAGGTCGCCTCCCTGGAGGTCGCCTCCCTGGAGGTCGCCTCCCTGGAGGTCGCCTCCCTGGAGGTCGCCTCCCTGGAGGTCGCCTCCCTGGAGGTCGTCTCCCTGGAGGTCGCCTCCCTGGAGGTCGCCTCCCTGGAGGTCGTCTCCCTGGAGGTCGCCTCCCTGGAGGTCGCCTCCCTGGAGGTCGTCTCCCTGCAGGTCGCCTCCCTGCAGGTCGTCTCCCTGGAGGTCGCCTCCCTGCAGGTCGTCTCCCTGGAGGTCGCCTCCCTGGAGGTCGCCTCCCTGCAGGTCGCCTCCCTGGAGGTCGCCTCCCTGCAGGTCGCCTCCCTGGAGGTCGCCTCCCTGCAGGTCGCCTCCCTGGAGGTCGCCTCCCTGGAGGTCGCCTCCCTGGAGGTCGCCTCCCTGCAGGTCGCCTCCCTGGAGGTCGCCTCCCTGCAGGTCGTCTCCCCCTGGAGGTCGCCTCCCTGCAGGTCGCCTCCCTGGAGGTCGCCTCCCTGCAGGTCGCCTCCCTGGAGGTCGCCTCCCTGCAGGTCGCCCCCTGGAGGTCGCCTCCCTGCAGGTCGCCTCCCTGGAGGTCGTCTCCCTGGAGGTCGCCTCCCTGCAGGTCGCCTCCCTGGAGGTCGCCTCCCTGGAGGTCGCCTCCCTGGAGGTCGCCTCCCTGCAGGTCGCCTCCCTGGAGGTCGCCTCCCTGGAGGTCGCCTCCCTGCAGGTCGCCTCCCTGCAGGTCGTCTCCCTGGAGGTCGCCTCCCTGCAGGTCGCCTCCCTGGAGGTCGCCTCCAGAGTAACGACCTCATTATTTGACTCAGGTGTGTTGAAATGGAGACGTATCTAAAAGTTGCAGGACGGCGGCCCCCCTGACTTGGGCTAAAGGTCAAAGGAATGCTGCATGATGATGGCTGTTTTGAGTGCAGAGGAAAACCTACTGGAAGGTTTGGGAGCTTCTGTCGAAGAAGAATTCATTCAGGAGGAAGTCTGCGTCATCGCAGAGCTCCAGCGCAGCGTCTCGACCGCAGCAGACCAGCTTCCCCAGGCGAGTCTCTGGGTGGACGCCAGCAGCTCCTGGGACAGGACGTAGCGACTCCCCCCGACATTGACGACCAGAGCGTCAAGCGGGTCCCTCACGCACGGCGCCGGCGTCTCGCTGAAGACGCTGGAGTTCAAAGACAGCAGGGAGGCGGCGTCAGCGAACGCCTCCAGGCCCGCCATGGAGGACGAGGCGGCAGCTGGAGAAAAGGAGACAGGACACATCTGGGTCAGAAGCGCTCTGGTCACTGATGTCTGGGGAACATCTGGATCTGACAGGAACAGATGCTGGGGGCGAGAGAGGGAAGGAGAGAGAGAGCGACCGTGGGGTTTCTGATTTCAACAACATGGGCAGCTGCCCAGGGCGGCAGGAGGAGGGGCCTCCCTCACAATGCTTCTTTGATGCTCTGTCAGTCAAGAGGTGGCGCCCCCTTGTGTTGAGGTCACATGACTGGATTTTGATTGGCTTAGAGGACTCACTGCAGACATGCCCTGAAGTCCCGCCCCTGGCCTTTCTGCAACCAATGAGAGGACAGAGTCAGGATGCTGTCATTCTGTTGCTGTTCCAACTCTCAGCCACTAGGGGAGGCTGTTTGCGCTAACGGAGACACTCATATCAAGCGTCTGTGGAGAGAGGTTCTGGCTCCTGGATCGGCCCGGTCCAGTTTGGTTCGCTTCAGTTCGGTCCAATCTGGTCTTCTGGGTTCTGGTTCTAATCAGAACCAGGTTCTGGTGTTTAATGCGTCCTCTCCTTTTGCCATCGGGACTCAGAGGAAAGAAACCTAACCTGTTGAACCCGACCCCATCAGAACCGTCACTACTGCTGAGAGGTCAGCTGCCCATCCCGTCTGAACCGCCAGAACCTCCAGGAGCATGAAGATGAGAACCAGAACCAGAACCAGAACCAGCAGACTCTGACCTGGTTTCCGTGGAGTCGCTGTCGGATCGTCTGCTGGAAACTTTCCTCACTTGGAGACGAAGAACGCTGCAGCAGCCGGAGCTTCTGACGGGCCTGCCGGGTCGGCGGGTCCAGCAGCTTCTGCTTTCCGCTCAGGTTGGCGCTGCAGTTTGAAGGAGGAGGAAGACGAGGAGGAGGAGGGAGAGGATGATGAAGAGGAGGAGGAGCATCCTCCTCCTCTTCCTCCTGGTCCTATTTCTGTTCCTTTGCTTTATTTTTAGATCCTTCTCTTCCTGAGCTGCTCATGATTTCCTCTGGGTCCAGGTTCTGCCTCTGAACCGGGTCGGCTCTGACCCAAACCCAGTTCCACACACAGAACCCTGGAGAAGCCGTCCCGGTTCACTCATCCCAACGTTTCTGATCCATCATTGGTTGAAGGATCAGAACCATTTTAACCAAACTGAACCGCGACAGAGCGCCAATCAGAACCACCGGTCCAAAACTGAACAGCAGGAAGTCCTGGAGTCACAACAGACATTTTATAAAGTTAGAACTGAACCAGAACCAGAACCAGTCAGACCAATCGCCCGTCTTGCACGAGCTGCTATTATCTCCTGTTGCTAGGAAACAAACTGGTTTCCAGTCCATCTTGATGGCGGCTGCTCCACATTCTGAGCTCTGGCTCTGCAGCGCCACCTTGTGTCAGGCTGAAGCGGTGAATGGCTGAATGCAGCTTTTATTTCATTCATGCTTTCATTGGTTCAGCCATGATGTTCCCCTGGTTCTGACGAACTGGGTCAGAACCACACAGTCACAGCGGTTAAGCTCAGCCCACAGATTATAATAGATAAGAGAGATGGCGCCATCTGGTGGAGAACCATGGCAATATAACCATTTATTATTGAGCCTTTATTTTAATCGTGAAAAAGTCACTTATAAAAACGTTTATAAGTGACTCATATATTAGAAGTTTGTAAAATAAATCAACACAAACGGGAAATTAAAGCAGCAATTTGTAGAACAGATCGTCGCCCTGTAAAAGTTCACGAGCAGCCGTGAAGAAACTGAGACGGGCTGGACTTTCCTCACGGCTGCTCCTGAACTTTTACAGGGCGACGATCGAGAGCGTCCTCTGCCTCAACGTGACTGTGTGGTATGGTAGCTGCACAGCACTGGAGAGGAAACAACTGACACGGGTGGTGAGAACAGCACAAGGCATTGTGGGATGCCCCCTCCCGGACCTGGACTCTATTTACATAGGCCGGGTCAAGAAGAGAGCTGGATCCATAGCCATGGATTCCAGCCACCCGGGCCACAGACTGTTTGTGCCGCTGCCATCAGGCCAGCGGTTCAGGAATATACGGACTACAACAAACAGACTGAGAAACAGTTTCTTCCCCAGCCGTCAGAGCCATTACTCCCTGCCGCCCCCTCCCACACATATCATAACCTCACATACACCCCCACCCCCACACAGCCATATTGTTCTGCACTTGCACTGTCACATCATCTGCACTTTACCATAATTGGACCTGCTGCTTCTTCTTTGGTGTGGTTGAGTGCCTTTAGTTCATTTTAGTTGTATATAATATTATTATTATTATTATTGGTGTTTGTTTATTTTATATTGTATATATTTGACTTTTTGCACGGGAGTTGCAATAGAAATTTTGTTGAATCCTGTTCAATGACAATAAATGCTATTCTATTCTTCTATTCTATTCTATAAATCAATTGCTCTGAGATCTGTCAGATGCATTGATCTGATCTGAGTTCAATTTAAAAAAGTATGGAAGCCCATTCAAGCTTTGCTTTTGAGATATTGGAGTAAGCATCCTGGCTGATTTTTATCTAATAAAAGTGACTTTAAAACAAAAATTCTGACTTCCTGTTGGGCTTTAATTGTTTCTCTTGCATGGCGGAAACGGCTGCCGTGGAGTTCTGTGTGTGAAATCTACCCACTCTAGCTCTATCTGTCTGTAGGTTTTTTCCTGGATGTATCCGCTGACTGTATCTTCAGGTGTGTTGGTCACAGTTTATTCTTCAAGGTGGAAAACTGGAAACAAAACAAACGTTTCGGATCCAGTTTTCTAAACAGAATGTGGAGAAGATTAAAGAGGACAAAGTGCTTTATTAGGAGAAATATTGTTGAGAATTTTGAAATTAACTCATTTGTTTTGATCATTAAAACTGATAAATATTTGACAAAGCTTTCTAATCATCAATAATGTAGGACACATATGTCAAAGTCAAGGTGCGCAGGCCGGATCCGGCCCGCAAATTAATCATCTGTGGCCCCAGGATGATATTTAATTACTATTAGAACCGGCCCGCGGGCCACAGGCCACAGCGACTCGCTGGCGTTTTGCACGTGTAACCGGGTTCTGCTTCACGCCGCTGTACCAGGCCGACCCAAGTAACCCCTGGACTCTGCGTTGTGTAGATGTTTAATGAAGACCAGGAGTTCTGGGTGAACAGGCAGTTTATTTCCTGAATGAGAACAGATCGGGTTGGAATCAATGCAACGGCTCAGCTTCCCTCAGCACACTACAACAGAGCATCACGTTGACTTTAACTTAGCACAGAAAGTGTTTTACAATGTTATCAAAACTAAAAGTGCAAAATTGATGCCAGGCACACAAATCATAAATAGTAGTTGCACACTATTGATGTAAGTTATGAAGAATAATATTTTATGTGTTTCTAACACTTTTCCGTGCTGAGGAATGAAACTCACCTCTATTGCAGCTTCCATAGACTGGCACTGATTACAGCAGCATATAACCAGCCACACAGAGAGGAGGCGCTATTTCCCATTGCACTGATAATATATAAAGCAAGTGGGATTCTACAACATAAACTCTGTTACACACGCACCAACACTACATTTCCCACAATGCATCGGTAGCCCGCGACGTCACTGCAGCACAAGCGGCTTCATAGTTCATCAGCATTCAGAGCAGAGATCAACTTTCAGGTTCCCTCCTCAAAATGGCTGAACGCGTAGAGACGCTGAGAACAGGGTTCATGTTCACGGAGGTAAAGGCCAACCTGTGTGCAGTGACGTCAGTAACGCGTCACTGACGTTTTTATATCAAATCAGGTAGTCAGACTGCAGTTACTTATTGAAATCACTTTGCGTTTACTATTTTGTCATTTTTCCGCGGCTTGGGGAGTATGCGACAGAAACAATGAGGGAGACGCATTTTGTCACTGGAAAAACAGGAACTATGTTGAGTTTCGCTCACCAAGTCAGATTATTATAAGCGGCTTGGAGCTTGGTTTTTAAAGTCGCTTGTAGATTTAATGAGTCGCTTTTTATGGGCTTAATAAGCGACATAAACCCAGAATTTGTCTGACATCCAGTCAGTTTTAGTCAGACTCATAATCCGTCCCGCTTGTCTTTGTTCATGTCAAGTTAATATTTTACCTCTGAATGACGTCAAGCTTCGCGTTGCGCTCCAGAAAACTGCAAACAGCGCAATAAACATCAAAACAAGTCCGTAAAGTTGTGTAAATTATAATTATTAATATAAGTGTCACTAATCTGTGCAGCCATCTGAGTTGCAGAGCAGCAGGGGGCCCTCTGTGCGCTGTGACAACAAACGCAGGGCCGTAACGCAGGGCTGGCTTTGGGGGTCTAAACCCTATTGATAGTTTTCCAGACAATAGAAACACAAGAACATGCGCAAATTACTAACGTTTTTTGAACTATTGTAACCATTAAACAATCTCTCCTTCAGTTCAACCATATAAGTGGAGACACATTGTTGATGTAATCATTATAAAATAACTTGCAATTAATTATTGGGAAAGATCAATGTGATGTTCACAGGCAGCTGTTAGCATTTGCTGACAGTAACTAAAATAGTTACTTTTAACGTAAATTAATTACTTTCCACATCAAGTAATCAGTAATCTAACTGTTACTTTTTTCAAGAAGTAATCAGTAATCTGATAAAAGTAACTTTGCCATCACTGCCTGTGTGTTTCTGTGTGGAGAAAGTTTGGCTGTAATGAAAGAATATAATCTATCAAACTTCTCAGAAACACACAAAGACAAGAATATGAACGTCGTAGAGCAGCACAATAATGCAGTTTCAGTTTATACTGCATGCTCTTTAATTTATGTATTTATCTTGACATTAAGAAACATATTGAGTTTTTCAAAACTATACATTTTTTTCTGTTTGCTTGTTGAAAATGTTTTTCCTTGAGGTTATCGACAGTCATAATAAAATATTGCTCATCAGAGAGAGACCTGCAGTGAAGAAGGTGAGAGTATGGCCTGAGGGCGCCATGTCTGCACTGCAGGACTGTTTTGAGTGCACTGAATGGGGCATCTTCAAGGAAGCAGCAAACAAAAAACAAGCGCACCAACGTGGAGGAGTACGCTGCATCTGTATCCGACTATATCAGTTGGTGCATGGAAAAGAGACAGCAACAAAAACAATAGTCACTCGGGCAAACCAAAACCTTGGATGACCAAGGAGGTGGGAACGAAGCTGAGAGAACGCAATGCTGCTTTCAGATCTGGTGATGCTGCGGCTCTCAGGTCTGCGAGGGTCAACCTGAACCGGACCATCAGAGACGCTAAGCGAGCCCACAGCCGGAAAATCCAGGGTCTCTTCCAGGACTCCAACAACACCAGGAAACTGTGGCAGGGCATCCAGTCTATCACAGACTACAAACCCACACCCCATCCTGCCAGACCGACACTGGCTTCCTCAACGAGCTCAACAACTTCTTCGGAAGATTTGAGGAGCTGAACAACAACCCTGCGAGGAAAGCGACGCCACTCCCCGATGAACAGGCGCTCAGACTAGAAACATCAGCAGTGCGGAAGGTTCTGAGGAAGGTCAACGCGCGGAAAGCTGCAGGTCCGGACAACATTCCAGGTCTGCTAATCAAGGAATGCTCGGACCAGCTGGCCCACGTGCTCACCGACATCTTCAACACGTCCCTGGACCAGGCTGTCGTCCCACGGTGCTTCAAGTCTGCCACTGTCCGTCCGGTCCCGAAGTCAACCACCATCACATGCCTTAACGACTTCCGCCCCGTCGCACTGACATCCACCATCATGAAGTGCTTCGAAAGACTTGTTAAGGACCACATCATCTCCACGCTCCCCCCATCACACGACCCTTTCCAGTTTGCATACCAGTCC